AACACATATATACACACACACACACATATGTATAGAGAGGGAGAAATATTTGTTTTAAGGAATTAGCTCATGCAGTTGTGAAGGCTAGCAAGTATAAAATTTGCAGGACAGGCCAGCAGGCTGAAGACCCAGGAAAAGTTGTAGTTTGAGTCTGAAGGCAGAATTCCCTCTTCCTCCTGGGAGGTCAGACTTTTTTTTTTCTATGAAGGACTTCAACTGATTGGATGAGGACCATTCACATTATGGAGGATAATCTGATTTACTCTAAATCTACTGATTTAAATGTTAATTTCATCTAAAAAAAATACCTTCGCAGAAACACCTAGAATGCTTGATCAAATATCTGGGTACCCTGGCCAAGCTAAATTGATGCATAGAATTAACCATCACACCTATTCATAATGCCGAGGACTATTTATACACACACACACACACACGCATGCACATGCACTGTAAGTGTTGATTAGATTGAGCAGACCATTTGTAATTGTGCACTCATTATTCACTTCATTTTTAAGCCCTTATTGCTATACCTTACATATTTTAAGAAATCAGTATCTATTTGCTGATTAACTGACTGAATGGAAAAAATGAATGAAACAAAGAAACACATGAAAGGAAGGAAGGGCTTAGGTATGTTGGTCACACAGCATGAAGTGTCTTTCCTTCTTATTCCTTTCTCAGCTTCCTGAACCTATTCTTCAAGATTGAAATCATAGAAGACTTTCTGCATGTCACATTCTTTGAGCTCACTCCTCTCTCATGTTTTCTTTTGTACAAAATGTCTTTCACATATTGCATAAATTGAATTATTTGTTAGATGCCTCTTCAGGATGATTTGAATGATACCATCACCTGCTTTTATCCTTTCACTATTCTGGGGCCTCATTCTCATTTTACCTCTTTTACTTCTTCCCCCACTTCTCACTCTTTTTCTTTTTCTCTTTGCTGCCATTTCCCAGCACCATGTGTCATATTTAATAGCAATCACCTCTGTAATCCAAAGGGAATCAGCTGGATATATGATGTCCCTCTTTAAGGGTGGCTTTAATTCCAGAGAGAAAGTGAAGAGCTGAGATTTTCTGTTCTTAATGATTAAGATTATAGATACTTTTCAATATGATTAGGATGACCTATTTTTACCGCTGAAGTACATTTTAGGTTAGGCTTTTCATTGAACAGAGGTTTTAATATTTGGTGATTGTTACTAACCTTCCAATAATTGGATGAAAGCCAAAGACATTCTCCGGGGAAACATACAGTCAAGTTTTACATTAAATTTCAGGGGGTTCAAAGAGTCCTCAGTGTTCATGCACCCCATAGTGTGTTATTCTTAATTCCCAGGGTCTAGAGGTATATATAAAGTTACTCAGACCTATCTTGTAAGAATGAGAGATGATATAAAAATGTCTATTGTCCTTGTTCTTCAGGAATTTTGTGCAGATATTTAAAGTTTTGTGCAATAGCTCTGGAAGCCTGTGTCCTTAAGGCTTATTTTTTTCTGGGAGATGGCTACCTATGCTTTCATTCTGTAGTCATCAATTAATTATAAGAATATACAAAGAACTCAAACAAATTTACAAGAAAAAAAAACAAACAACCCCATCAAAAAGTGGGCAAAGGATATGAACAGACACTTCTCAAAAGAAGACATTTATGCAGCCAACAGACACATGAAAAAATGCTCATCATCACTGGCCATCAGAGAAATGCAAATCAAAACCACAATGAGATACCATCTCACACCAGTTAAATGGCGATCATTAAAGTCAAGAAACAACAGGTGCTGGAGAGGATGTGGAGAAACAGGAACACTTTTACACTGTTGGTGGGACTGTAAACTAGTTCAATCATTGTGGAGGACAGTGTGGTGATTCCTCAAGGATCTAGAACTAGAAATACCATTTGACCCAGCCATCCCATTACTGGGTATATACCCAAAAGATTATAAATTATGCTGCTATAAAGACACATGCACATGTATGTTTATTGCAGCACTATTCACAATAGCAAAGACTTGGAATCAACCCAAATGTCCATCAGTGACAGACTGGATTAAGAAAATGTGGCACATATACACCATGGAATCCCATGCATCCATAAAAAAGGATGAGTTCATGTCCTTTGTAGGGACATGGATGCAGCTGGAAACCATCATTCTCAGCAAACTATTGCAAGAACTGAAAACCAAACACCGCATGTTCTCACTAATAGGTGGGAATTGAACAATGAGATCACTTGGACACAGGAAGGGGAACATCACACACTGGGGCCTGTTGTGGGGTGGGGGGAGGGGGGGAAGGGATAGCATTAGGAGAAATACCTAATGTAAATGACGAGTTAATAGGTGCAGCACAGCAACATGGCACATGTATAAATATGTAACAAACCTGCACATTGTGCACATGTACCCTAGAACATAAAGTATAATAAAAACATAAATAAAAAAAGAAAAAATAATAAGAATATCACTGTAAAAAAAAGAAAAAAGAATATACTCTGTTACAAATTGCTAGCACTGTATTTTCTCTCATGAGGTAAGAGGAAATACAGGTTAGCAGGGCATCTTCTTTTAAAAATAGAAGTTGCAAACATAATTGGCTTCTGGAAAGTATGAGATTTTCTCTCTCTCTCTAGTAATATTCTTTCTGTAAAATGCAATCCTCTTGGTCCTATCTATACACTCTGGATTAGGTACATACTAGGCTACCAGGACACTCAGCTCTTGCAAAAAGTACTAAATACTAACTCATTTAGGTTATGGTTGCGAACAGGTAGAAGTCTCTGCCGTGAGTAGATAGTGTGTGGATGCTGGTGGACCAAAATGTTTGATTTGGGGTAGACAAAATGGGAAAAAATGCCTTTTTAATATGTATTTTTTGATATGCATAGCTCTCATCATGGGCAATATTACATGTTCAGAAATTTGGATCAGCAATCAGGTGGAACTAAGAAACAGCTGTTCCCATTGTACCTGGCATATACACTGTAATTTGCTTCAGACTCCACCACTCTCTATTGCCCTCAATACATCATAAATGTCAGCTGCCATTGATTATCACAGATACTTCTTCTTTTTCTTTAGTATAGTAGAGCAATAATTTCCAATACCCATGTATATGTCAAAAATGGCACCATGAAATACAGAAAAACCCTGTATATCATTATATATTTCTTGGGAGCAACTGAAAATTGTCTGTTATTTAATATGCAAGCAGAATGCATCTTCATCAGGTTTATTATCATTTATTTTACATACAATTGCTTCACTCACTAATGTTATTTCTCTTTGCCCATATTGGCATGTGATTTGCCACTTTTTTTCCTAAGGTCCTCTTCACTTTTTCACCTTCAGCATCCTGAAAGTGCTGCTAAATTGATTTTTAGTATTTGTTATAGTCTTATTTTATTTCAGTGCTTAAAAATCAATGATTTTACACTTTTCTGTAAAATATTAACAATTAAAACAAACTAATGAAGTGCTGTTATCTATATGGTTATTTACAAGTATTTACATAATAAGCTCAGTTAAAAGAAACTGGAGGGATTATTGGCTGCAACCTATTGCCTTCATATGGATTTAGCAAACAGTAATAATCACAACAGCAACAGCAACAATACAACAGCATTTCTTTGGATTATTTTACAGATTACAAAATACCCTCATGTGCATTTTATGTAATTACGTGAAGTCCAGAAATGCTGACATAGTATATTTCCTCTGTCTTAAAATAATTTTAAATAAAGAGCATCTAGCAAGAGAGAACTCCTCCCCTGAATCACTACTGGGAGGCTGGACATTATACAAATGGGCAGTGTCTACTGGGCTGCTCAAGGAGGCATAGGCAGCTGCCTCCACTTGTAACAGCATTTTGTTCCTGACAGAATGTGAGAGTAAAATTCAGTGCCATGAAGTTCTAATGTTGAGGTGGGGCCATGTGACCACACTGCTTTCTTTTGTACTGTCAGACCCGAAAATCCTGCTTGTGGAGAATGTGTGATGTCGTCTTACATGGACACTAGCCATCTGTACTTCATTTTCAATTTTCTCAGCGTCAGAACTATGAATTTACAACTCCATTTAGTGTTTTTTTTTATTGCGTAAATATGGGAGGGTAGGTTTTGAAAGCCCCTACGTTTTACAGTATTGAAAATTCCAAACTAGAGTATCTAAAAGGTTTCTGTGTTCAGAAAGCAATTTGAGTGGTTGTCTTTGTTAGTAGGCACTTCCTACAAGGAAAAAATATGAGAATTTCATTTAGTTATGTAAACATAGATAGATAAACAAGTAGACAGATAGAGGTTAAGCCCTTGCCATGCATATAACACCTGTTTGACACTATAAATGAAAGAAGTATAAGGAGGAAATTTGCTGAAAACAAAAGTACATAGTTCTGTGTATTTTCTATGCTGAAGCATTTCCATGTGTTTATAGAAGTGAGAAATCACATAGTTCTGGATGATCATGAAAAGAAAAAGGAGGAGGAAGCAGTAAGAGAGAATTCCCAGCGGAGGGAGGCATATTGATTATGAAGATAAGTTTGTACACTGAGTGCTTAATTAGAATATTCTGTTACACAAAGAGACAGGCAAAGATGACAGTATGTTGATACTTCAAAAAACAAATTAACTTTTCAATGGTGAAATAACAGTTTTCTAAGAAAGTAATTCAATGACACATTTTTTGGTTCTTTTTTTTTTTTGCAGATACTATGTTTTTCATTGAAACAATGATTATTGCTAATAGTTATTTGAATTCCACATATTTGTGCCTTTTGTGCACTTTCCAGAGACTAAAGTCATTCTTCAACAATTCTGCTGTACAATGGTCAGCTACATAAACCTCAGTTAGACATGAGCTATCCAGCAGATTTAGGGGTTATATTTCAATGTGGGATTTGAATTGTAATTATCCATCACACTAGAAAAATAATAGTTCTAATCAACCTGTCTTTATTATCACTTTCATCATAATTTTAACTGCTCTGTTTTTATATAAGGTTGCCATTGCCACCTGGGGCCTTTTCAGGACTCTGGAAGAATCAGGAAGCATTCAAGCATTTATACTTTGAAAAATTTCCTGTAAGAACTTTAATATGCTTTTTTTTATCTTCTTATATACTTTTCTATAATTCATGCCTATTAAATTGAGAAACTTGCTCCTAGAATCATAGATCAAAAAGAAACTTTTAAAGGTTATCTGGACCAGTTTCCAGCTCCCAGGGATAAGAATGCCCAACTCATAATTATCTAAATAAGCCAATTTTATACTTATTGTCAGTCTCTAGACATAAACATTTCTTGGTTTTTCTTAGCAGCTTTTCCTAGAATTTAATAGTCCTCAGTGTCAGGACATCAGGACATTATTTGTTACATAAAAATGTCGTTTGGACTTTCTATATTGTTTCCTCTACTTGCTTCCTCTGTATCAACAGACAGAGAGTAACAAATCAGAATTATATAATGTCATTCAGACCCTTTAACCTCTTATTGGTTATATGAGCAAATTCCATTCAGCTTGCCCAGAAGTTGTATTTTTCCATTTCTTTATTTTTGACACCATTTCTTGAATGTTCTCTGAGTGCTTTATTTTTAAACCTTATTTTAAAAATACAGATACAGGACAGAAACAGTGTACTCAAAGCCCAACACCCAGCGTCCTGGATAACAAAAAGTGCCTTCCTGTTTCACATTCTGTCATCATGTGAAATTTGTTACTCCATGCCGTGGTGATGTGTGTTATGTTTATAACAGCACTTCATTAATAAAACACATCAGGGTCTGCTCACATCATCTTTCGGTTGTCCCTCTACTTACACCCCCCTCCCCCACTGCCTAACCCCAACAGGGACACCTGGTTCTCATTTTTCACTAAGTAAAATTCTGAATGAACAGAATTTCACTAAAATTTTGCCAAAGTATTTAGCATTTTATCTTTATTATTTGTTAGTGAAGGAAAGATAACCTAATCAACCAGACAAATGACAAGAATTAAAATAACTTTCTTTAGGAAGAAATTGCAGCATTGAATGACCTCAATAGCCAAGATTAAACATCCCCTGATAGAGTGTGGCAGGGAAGATTTGTCAGTGTAGTTGACTCCAGTAAGCCCAATCTATCTGCATGATGGGCCATAGTTAATCATCAGAGTGCAGGTGGTGAGATCATTGATTATAGCCTGGCAATGGCAAATGATATGTGCATGTGGTATTGACATGATCACCTTTAACACTAAAAGCTCCCTCAAAGCCCCTGTTTATGGCTACACTATGTGAAGTGACTCTGTCTTTTTACCTCATCTCAAACCTATTATTTGAGGAATTAATAACAGCACAGAAGGGTTGAGTAATTTCCCATGAGTTCACGTAAGTGAGAAGTGATGGAACTGAGACGAACCAAAATAGTCAGGCTTGAGAGTTCATACTCTTAACTACTACTCTAGGTTGCCTCTCTAATATTAATAAAAGTATTAATTGCAGTAAAATTATTGAGAGCTCATGATATGCCAGAGTCTGTCCTCTTTCACTTATATACACTGTTTCATGTGTGCTTCACAGAAGCCTTAGAAGGCAGAGCTCATTTTCCCATTTAACAGATGAGAATACTGAAGTCTCAGAAAGTCTAAGAAACACAATAGTGGCTTTCCAGGATTTGTACTAAAGTCCATGCTCATAAACATAGGTATCAAAATAACTCAGAAGCATAAGGAAAAATAATATTTATTTTTTCTACTTCTTATTCTTTATTATTCTTATTCTACTGTCATTTCTAGACCAGCAACAATGTTTTACTTTGAGTGACTAAAAATTAAATTTCATACTTACTATTAAATTTCACTGAAGCTTGAGTCCAATCCTAACCTATATTAATAAACTAGTGCTGTATTGGGAAATTATTCACTGGGAGCTTTAAAGCTTTTAAAAGTTAATACAATTAAAGAAGAAATGTATCAAAGAATTACTTTGCAATATCAAAGTATATTAGAATTAGTATTAAGCTATTACTTCTCCATTAAAAAAAGAAATCACATTCATAAACTTTACAACTCTATATTCAAACACTTAAACATTTCTAAAAACACTTCTTATTCTTGGCTGTTAAAGGAGCAAAGAGATTCTAGCACAGTTTCCAGATAAAAAGTAGTGTAATTTCCTAGTCTAGTTATGAAAAATAGCAAAAGTTCACAGTAAATCCATTTCTATTACATTGTATATTTTACAAAGTTTAAAATGATTACATTACTTCATGGTACATGCTAATCAAATATTATTTTTTCTTGTTTTCAGGGATATTATGATACCATGGATGCTGGTTACATGGATGAAGAAGGCTATGTGTATGTTATGTCTCGAATGGACGATGTAATAAATGTTGCAGGTCACAGAATTTCTGCAGGTGCCATTGAAGAGGTATTGATGAATATTGGTATTCTATTCCAAGTAGTGTTTAGACACAGAGCTGCACTGAAGACTATATTGAGATTATTTCACTTGGAAAATTACCACACCCTTCATTTGCAGCAGAGGCTAGGTTACTCTTGTATCTCTCTCACCTCACTTTCTCTCTTTTACATATTCCTATTCCCTACACTCCCACATCCCTGGGTGGTAGTGAAGAGTTTTAAACACTTACATATATTTTTTTCTTTATGGGGGAGCCTGTGTACATTTGTCTCTTTTTTTTTTTTTTATTTATTATTATTGTACTTTAAGTTGTAGGGTACATGTGCATAACGTGCAGGTTTGTTACATATGTATACTTGTGCCAAGTTGCTGTGCTGCAGCCATCAACTCGTCATTTACATCAGGTATAACTCCCAATGCAATCCCTCCCCCCTCCCCCCTCCCCATGATAGGCCCCGGTGTGTGATGTTCCCCTACCTGAGTCCGAGTGATCTCATTGTTCAGTTCCCACCTATGAGTGAGAACATGCGGTGTTTGGTTTTCTGTTCTTGTGATAGTTTGCTAAGAATGATGGATTCCAGCTGCATCCAAGTCCCTACAAAGGACTCAAACTCATCCTTTTTTATGGCTGCATAGTATTCCATGGTGTATATGTGCCACATTTTCTTAATCCAATCTGTCACTGATGGACATTTGGGTTGATTCCAAGTCTTTGCTATTGTGAATAGTGCTGCAATAAACATACGTGTGCTTGTGTCTTTATAGCAGCATAATTTATAATCCTTTGGGTATATACCCAGTAATGGGATGGCTGGGTCATATGGTACATCTAGTTCTAGATCCTTGAGGAATCGCCATACTGTTTTCCATAATGGTTGAACTAGTTTACAATCCCACCAACAGTGTAAAAGTGTTCCTATTTCTCCACATCCTCTCCAGCACCTGTTGTTTCCTGACTTTTTAATGATTGCCATTCTAACTGGTGTGAGATGGTATCTCATTGTGGTTTTGATTTGCATTTCTCTGATGGCCAGTGATGATGAGCATTTTTTCATGTGTCTGTTGGCTGTATGAATGTCTTCTTTTGAAAAATGTCTGTTCATATCCTTTGCCCACTTTTTGATGGGGTTGTTTGTTTTTTTCTTGTAAATGTGTTTGAGTTCTTTGTAGGTTCTGGATATTAGCCCTTTGTCAGATGAGTAGATTGCAAAAATTTTCTCCCATTCTGTAGGTTGCCTGTTCACTCTGATGGTAGTTTCTTTTGCTGTGCAGAAGCTCTTTAGTTTAATGAGATCCCATTTGTCAATTTTGGCTTTTGCTGCCGTTGCTTTTGGTGTTTTAGACATGAAGTCTTTGCCCATGCCTATGTCCTGAATGGTACTACCTAGGTTTTCCTCTAGGATTTTTATGGTATTAGGTCTAACATTTAAGTCTCTAATCCATCTTGAATTAATTTTCGTATAAGGAGTAAGGAAAGGATCCAGTTTCAGCTTTCTACTTATGGCTAGCCAATTTTCCCAGCACCATTTATTAAATAGGGAGTCCTTTCCCCATTTCTTGTTTCTCTCAGGTTTGTCAAAGATCAAATGGCTGTAGATGTGTGGTATTATTTCTGAGGATTCTGTTCTGTTCCATTGGTCTATATCTGTGTTTTGGTACCAGTACCATGCTGTTTTGGTTACTGTAGCCTTGTAGTATAGTTTGAAGTCAGGTAGCGTGATGCCTCCAGCTTTGTTCTTTTGACTTAGGATTGTCTTGGAGATGCGGGCTCTTTTTTGGTTCCATATGAACTTTAAAGCAGTTTTTTCCAATTCTGTGAAGAAACTCATTGGTAGCTTGATGGGGATGGCATTGAATCTATAAATTACCTTGGGCAGTATGGCCATTTTCATGATATTGATTCTTCCTATCCATGAGCATGGTATGTTCTTCCATTTGTTTGTGTCCTCTTTTATTTCACTGAGCAGTGGTTTGTAGTTCTCCTTGAAGAGGTCCTTTACATCCCTTGTAAGTTGGATTCCTAGGTATTTGATTCTCTTTGAAGCAATTGTGAATGGAAGTTCATTCCTGATTTGGCTCTCTGTTTGTCTGTTACTGGTGTATAAGAATGCTTGTGATTTTTGCACATTAATTTTGTATCCTGAGACTTTGCTGAAGTTGCTTATCAGCTTAAGGAGATTTTGGGCTGAGACAATGGGGTTTTCTAAATATACAATCATGTCATCTGCAAACAGGGACAATTTGACTTCTTCTTTTCCTAACTGAATACCCTTGATTTCTTTCTCTTGCCTGATTGCCCTAGCCAGAACTTCCAACACTATGTTGAATAGGAGTGGTGAGAGAGGGCATCCCTGTCTTGTGCCAGTTTTCAAAGGGAATTTTTCCAGTTTTTGCCCATTCAGTATGATATTGGCTGTGGGTTTGTCATAAATAGCTCTTATGATTTTGAGGTACGTTCCATCAATACCGAATTTATTGAGCGTTTTTAGCATGAAGGGCTGTTGAATTTTGTCAAAAGCCTTTTCTGCATCAATTGAGATAATCATGTGGTTCTTGTCTTTGGTTCTGTTTATATGCTGGATTATGTTTATTGATTTGCGAATGTTGAACCAGCCTTGCATCCCAGGGATGAAGCCCACTTGATCATGGTGGATAAGCTTTTTGATGTGTTGCTGAATCCGGTTTGCCAGTATTTTATTGAGGATTTTTGCATTGATGTTCATCAGGGATATGGGTCTAAAATTCTCTTTTTTGTTGTGTCTCTGCCAGGCTTTGGTATCAGGATGATGTTGGCCTCATAAAATGAGTTAGGGAGGATTCCCTCTTTTTCTATTGATTGGAATAGTTTCAGAAGGAATGGTACCAACTCCTCCTTGTACCTCTGGTAGAATTCAGCTGTGAATCCATCTGGTCCTGGACTTTTTTTGGTTGGTAGGCTATTAATTGTTGCCTCAATTTCAGAGCCTGCTATTGGTCTATTCAGGGATTCAACTTCTTCCTGGTTTAGTCTTGGAAGAGTGTAAGTGTCCAGGAAATTATCCATTTCTTCTAGATTTTCCAGTTTATTTGCGTAGAGGTGTTTATAGTATTCTCTGATGGTAGTTTGTATTTCTGTGGGGTCGGTGGTGATATCCCCTTTATCATTTTTAATTGCGTCGATTTGATTCTTCTCTCTTTTCTTCTTTATTAGTCTGACTAGTAGTCTGTCAATTTTGTTGATCTTTTCAAAAACCAACTCCTGGATTCATTGATTTTTTGGAGGGTTTTTTGTGTCTCTATCTCCTTCAGTTCTGCTCTGATCTTAGTTATTTCTTGCCTTCTGCTAGCTTTCGAATGTGTTTGCTCTTGCTTCTCTAGTTCTTTTAATTGCGATGTTAGAGTGTCAATTTTAGATCTTTCCTGCTTTCTCTTGTGGGCATTTAGTGCTATAAATTCCCCTCTACACACTGCTTTAAATGTGTCCCAGAGATTCTGGTATGTTGTATCTTTGTTCTCATTGGTTTCAAAGAACATCTTTATTTCTGCCTTCATTTCGTTATGTACCCAGTAGTCATTCAGGAGCAGGTTGTTCAGTTTCCATGTAGTTGAGCGGTTTTGATTGAGTTTCTTAGTCCTGAGTTCTAGTTTGATTGCACTGTGGTCTGAGAGACAGTTTGTTATAATTTCTGTTCTTGTACATTTGCTGAGGAGTGCTTTACTTCCAATTACGTGGTCAATTTTGGAGTAAGTATGATGTGGTGCTGAGAAGAATGTATATTCTGTTGATTTGGGGTGGAAAGTTCTATAGATGTCTATTAGGTCTGCTTGCTGCAGAGATGAGTTCAATTCCTGGATATCCTTGTTAACTTTCTGTCTCGTTGATCTGTCTAATGTTGACAGTGGAGTGTTGAAGTCTCCCATTATTATTGTATGGGAGTCTAAGTCTCTTTGTAAGTCTCTAAGGACTTGCTTTATGAATCTGGGTGCTCCTGTATTGGGTGCATATATATTTAGGATAGTTAGCTCTTCCTGTTGAATTGATCCCTTTACCATTATGTAATGGCCTTCTTTGTCTCTTTTGATCTTTGATGGTTTAAAGTCTGTTTTATCAGAGACTAGTATTGCAACCCCCGCTTTTTTTTGTTCTCCATTTGCTTGGTAAATCTTCCTCCATCTCTTTATTTTGAGCCTATGTATGTCTCTGCGTGTGAGATGGGTCTCCTGAATACAGCAGACTGATGGGTCTTGACTCTTTATCCAGTTTGCCAGTCTGTGTCTTTTAATTGGAGCATTTAGTCCATTTACATTTAAGGTTAAGATTGTTATGTGTGAACTTCATCCTGCCATTATGATATTAACTGGTTATTTTGCTCGTTAGTTGATGCAGTTTCTTCCTAGCCTCAATGGTCTTTACATTTTGGCATATTTTTGCAATGGCTGGTACCGGTTGTTCCTTTCCATGTTTAGTGCTTCCTTCAGGGTCTCTTATAAGGCAGGCCTAGTGGTGACAAAATCTCTAAGCATTTGCTTATCTGTAAAGGATTTTATTTCTCCTTCACTTATGAAACTTAGTTTGGCTGGATATGAAATTCTGGGTTGAAAATTCTTTTCTTTAAGAATGTTGAATATTGGCCCCCACTCTCTTCTGGCTTGGAGAGTTTCTGCCGAGAGATCTGCTGTTAGTCTGATGGGCTTCCCTTTGTGGGTAACCTGACCTTTCTCTCTGGCTGCCCTTAAGATTTTTTCCTTCATTTCAACTTTGGTGAATCTGGCAATTATGTGTCTTGGAGTTGCTCTTCTCGAGGAGTATCTTTGTGGCGTTCTCTGTATTTCCTGGATTTGAATGTTGGCCTGCCCTACTAGTTTGGGGAAGTTCTCCTGGATGATATCCTGAAGAGTGTTTTCCAACTTGGTTCCATTTTCCCCCTCACTTTCAGGCACCCCAATCAGACGTAGATTTGGTCTTTTTACATAATCCCACACTTCTTGCAGGCTTTGTTCATTTCTTTTTCTTCTTTTTTCTTTTG